GTAAAATAGTTGAGAAGGTAATTCACATTAGAATTAATAAGTTTTTATTGGAAAATAAAATAATACCAAATTTTCAATATGGGTTTAGAGAAAAACATTCTACTCTCCATCCGTTATCAATAATTACAGAAGAAACTATTCTCAAATTCAATCAAAGGAGAAATAGTGCAATGGTATTGCTGGACATTGAAAAGGCATTCGATACAGTATGGATTAGTGGTCTGTTATTTAAAATGATACAATTGAAGTTTCCAAATTATCTAATCAATATTATTAAGAGTTATCTCTGCAATAGAATGTTTTATGTTAGTTTATATAACAATAAATCTACCAATAGACATGTAACTGCAGGGGTACCACAAGGTAGTATACTGGGTCCTATATTGTATTCTATCTTTGTCTCTGATATTCCAAATAATAATGACATCAAACTATTAATGTTTGCGGATGATATCGCAATTTTTTCTTCAGGTATATCTGAAAATTCAATTATTATGCGGCTCCAAAATCAACTGGATAAAATTTTAAAATATGCACATAAATGGAAATTAAAATAACTATGACAAAACTGAATCAATTTTCTTTACCAAAAGAAGAAAAATCCAATACCATCGCTAACACTTCAAGTGCATGATATTGTAATACCATGGAATAATGAAGTTAAATACTTGGGACTGTCGTTGGACAGAAAATTTAATTTCATGTACACATAAAAAATAAAATAACCAAGCTAAAAGATTTTGTACATGCTATACCCATTAATGAAATTCAGAAGCTGTTAATGTAGAAAATAAACGAACGTTATACCTGACTATGATAAGACCAATCTTAACATAGGATGCCCTGGTGTATGACAAATAACCAGAATCTAGACAAGTATACAAAAACTACAAAATACTGCTGCAAGGATGATTATAGGACAATCAAGAACCCAAGTACAAAACATTATATAAATACTACATTTCTTCATGAAGCCACAAATATACCATACATAAAACCTACATTGACGGTATTTCAAAAAAGTACTCTACTACATGTTTAACTAATCAGAACCCTACCATAAATAACATTGGA